CTATCTGAAGGTGGGGGTCTGTAAAGGGGGGGATGCGGGAGAGATTGGAGTCCCCGACAATAAGGGTCCTCTTCAGCAACTCCAACGACCATACCTGTAGTTTCTTAAAAGTTCCGGGATATGTGTACGGTTCCGGGCGTGTGGGGGAGCCAGGTGCCGCTGCAGAGACCCCTGTGGAATGGGAGGTGGTTAGGGTTAAACCTGACTGGTTTTCGGACCCCCCCAGACCCCCCCAATAAAGCAAAACTGCACGTTTCAGAGTGGCCTTTTATTGTGGCCAGCCTAAGGCACACCTGTGCAATAATCATGCTGTCTAATCAGCATCTTGATATGCCACACCTGTGAGGTGGGATGGATTATCTCGGCAAAGGAGAAGTGCTCACTATCACAGATTTTTTCAGATTTATGAACAATATTTGAGAGAAATGGTTATTTTGTGTATGTAGAAAATGTTTTAGATCTTTGAGTTCATCTCATGAAAAATGGGAGCAAAAGTGTTGCATTTATATTTTTGTTCAGTGTATTATATCTTGGAAGTTGAAATGTGAAGTTATTCTGCAAACATTCTCAAACTTTATCCTAGTTTACAAACTGTCTTCCAGACTTCCATTTTTCCGTGCAGTGAGGGATTATCTGTGTTTTACCTTCAAGTAAAGTGGTAGCTAATTTGCCTGTTTATGACCTCTATGCTCTGTGACCAGTTGTGTTTTCTCTGGCTCTATTACCGAAAGCATGTCCTACATGTTCAGACTGCAAGCAAAGGTGGCCCATGTGAGAATTTTTTCCCATTTGTAATTCAGAATACATCTCAATCCAGCAATAGGCTTTCAGTCTGAATGCAGCCGTATGGACTCATGGGCCTCTAGGCTTTAAACTGCTCAACGCCCAGGTCAGCTGACATTCTTACATACTGTATTGTTGATAATGGACTTTAAATATCTGTATTGCAAACGGATATTAAATCATATATCAGCCAAGGCACTGTAGCTAGAAACGAGTCGTAATAGCTACGTCCTGGTTCCCACTCACCCTGGGAAACACAGGGCAGGGCTTCCTGCGCCTCAGACACATCCGCTTTCCCAACACCGACCCCAGGCCTCAAGTCTCCACTGGCAGCCACAGTCCTGCTCACACACACTTACACACACACACTCACACACACTGCAGTGAACCCCTGTGTGTATACAATTCATTGGGTGCCAGTGGTGAAGCATATCACACTGACCTTCCTTCTTATTTTATCTCCACTTCCTGCTTGTTGAGTTGTTCGTTTAAATTTGGAATGGTGCTCTTAATTTAGAACAGTGTTTATTTATCAAAATGTTTTGATTATAGCTTCATTTTGGGAACTCCGTACACTTAGGCATTGACAGGTTTCAAATGTGTTTTTAAAGCGATTTTAACTGGCACATAATGCGTCACTTAAATAATAGTAACAAAAGCCGAAGAGCTTTAGTTTCAGGGCAACGGACATTGCGATATTTTCTTCCCTGCGATATGAAAAAATACAGGAATTGAAGAAAAGACAGGTTTTTTTGTCCGCAAACTATCCTTTCTTGAACTTTAATGCTATACATTTGGTATTTTTTTAACAATATTTAACCGGATGAAGGATTTTAGTCACGGACGTCTGGATCTTAAGTTATCAGAGCAACAAGCTGGGCTAGCTCGGTTATCCTGCTGTGATCTGATCAAGAATGGTTGTGATTGGTCCCTGACATGAGAGCCGCGCAAGTTTTCCTTTTGTAGCAAGCAGCAAAATAATTGTAACATGACGTGTTTGAGTTCATTTGTCTACTTAAAATCGCACGTCCTAAAAAAAAAAAAGACGTGCGATATATATCGTGCAGCCCTAATAGTGGTGTATTTTGATACTGGATGCAGATTTATAACAACAGACAGGCATGGGTGTTTTGACTTGTGTCACACACTGCTGTAGTGGTACAATAGTCATGCTTTTAATTAAGGTAGTTAACCTATATTTTAATCAGATTTGAAACCCAAATGATCTGGGTTGGACAGCCCACATTCAGCCCACAACCTGTGCCACTGAGGAAAGTGTGTGCACCAGACAACTTGTGAAAAGGGCTTTGTATGTAGACCAATGTTACATCATAACCTGGCGGGATATATTGTCCATTATAAAACGGACAAGTCAAATCAAGCAATCTGATTGGTTCTTAGCCGTGACATAATGAGCGTATACCACGGGTAGAATTGTAGTTAATTTTCACAACAAGTCAGTATCCCTCCGCGTCTGAGAAAAGCTACAACCGTTACGAAACTAACTAACTAACAAAGCTTAAGATGGAAACATGTGAGGGATAATGTGCAGGCCCGAACCACGCCCCTTAGCTGTGATATAATGACCATATACCACGGCCTGTCGTGAGCTATTGCTTAAATCGAAAAATAATAAAGGCAGTACATGCTAATCTGATTGGATGGGAGCTTTAATTTATATTTGAATTCCTTATAATGTTTGACTTAAAAGTGGCTTGCCTCTTTGTTTCCCAAGGGTGATTTGAATGTTTACCCGATTTTGTTTAAAAAAAATAAGATTCTGTTTCAGATCTATGATCCCACATTTCTGGATGTTCTCTGGACACTTTTTTTAACCCTGTAATCCATGTGAAACACTTCCTTCTTCTTTGATTACTTTTGGTTTTCGGATCGATCTACTGCTCTCCTGTAGCCAAGTTGTCCTATTTGTGGAGAAGATCACCCCACCAGTCATAAATCATGTATGCAAAAGGATTCAATATGAGAAAAACGTGTCGGCTTTTATCTCAAACTTGACCTATCTCTCTCTTCCTGCAGTGTATCAGTGCTGATCTTCAACACCAGCTCACACTGTTTTATCCTCGTCAAGCAGTTCCGTCCAGGTGAGACTTCCCCGAACACATTTTCCTCTTGTCAAACACATACAGTATATATTGTTGTACATCCTGTGGGCACTTTCACTAAAAAAGCAGTTCATTACAATCCCTGTTTATTCTACTGGAGCCCAGTAACAATGCAGACTCCGAAATAGACCACAAGAGGCCGTGTTACAAAGCAGCCTAACCTCCTTTGTTAGAAGTCGCCAGGGACTGCTCCACATAGCAGTGTGCTAAATACAAGGAAGTCTGGGCATTGATATTCTTTTTCCCTCTCCTCTCTCCTTTCTATTGGGGTAAAAAAAAAAAAGTCCTTTATCTGAAAGAAATCTGAGTTTGGCTACAACTTAAAATAACATTTGTTTCTTTAACAGTGAGTAAGGCTTGCTTAGCCAGTGTTTCCCATACATTGGTTTATTTGTGGCGGGCCACAATTAAATATCGTCCGCCACAAATGGATAGTGAGGTGGGCTGATGATTGGAAGGTTGCGAGTTCAAATCTTGGGGGGGGCGGCGGGGTGCGGTGCGGTGCCCCCAGTAATAGAATCAACTTCTGTGGGAAACACTGTTAGCTTATTGGTATCGGACAATACATGCTTAGTCTTCACTATAAAACTGATTTGATATCTGGATGATTATATCTGAATATTGTTTTACTTGAGCATTTATTTCCCTATTGATATTAAATGAAAGATTTGTACCTGTACAGGGAAGCTTTTAATGATTAGCATGCATTCGGTTTGGCTACAAATAACAGCTCTTACAACTATTTGTCAAATATTTTTCCATGTTATCAATTAATGATATTCTATGAAATGACCAACAGTTGAAAACCAAAAATATTTTAATCACAGCAATATCAAAGATCTGGCAAATCAATTTGTGTAGCTGGTAGTAATTCAATAACCGTAAAGTATCTGTATTGCCTAAAAATAGATAAAACTGATATATTCTCAATACTTAATTATTAGACAAAGAAGTTTACAACATTAAACAAAATGCCTGTGGAAAACTGAGGAAAGTGCACAAAAGAATGTACTCTTATTACAGTATAGGATAATCTCAGGAATAATAGCGTTTTCTGTCCTCCCCCCACTAGCTGTATTCATGTGTGAGTGGGAAAGGAACAAGACGCAGCCGCCTCAGTCTGCTGAAAAACCTGAAGAGGGCGCCTCCGAAGCCGCGGCCCCCGCAGCTGAACCTCAGGAGGGCCAGTCGGCGGCGGAGGGGGAGAGCTCCTCCTCCCCGTGGCCCCCGGCCGCAGCGGGGGTCACCTACGAGCTCTGCGCCGGCCTGGTGGACAAACCCAACCTTTCTCTGGAGGAGATCGCCCGGCAGGAGGTGCTGGAGGAGTGCGGCTACGATGTGCCTGTCGCTAAACTGAAGAGGATTACATCTTACAGGTTAGCTTTGAAATCGCTTCTGAAAACCCACCTCTTCTCCTTAGCGTGTTGACATCTTTTAGATTGTTGCTTTTACTGCTTTTAAATTGTCTATTGTTTTTACTTCTTCTTGTTTTATGGTGTGTGAGCTTTGCTGTGTGATTTTTTTGTTGACTCAACATTTGTGTGTACCCAATAGGCGCTTTCACACCAAGTACTTTTCCCAGGAATAGTTCCCGGAACTTAGTTCCCCGGAAATCTTTAGTTACGGAACCATCTAGTAGATCGCGTTCACACCGGAATAAGTCCCTGAGGGAGCCGCTGACGTCACTTCTTCTTCT